TGTAAATACTCGAGTCTGTACCCAAACATCCAGTGTTTGACATCATGAGCATAGATCCATGCGATAGGGATACAGTGACATGCATCAACCAAGTCAACGAGCCTGACCCGATCCCGTTAGTCGCCTCTCATGATAACATTAGTCGCCTCTTACGCCAAGCATGGGTTGCTGAAGATCTATTCTACCCCGGATCTTCATGGTGATGATTTTCAGTGATCGTTTCATATAGATTTCATCATTAGTTTGCATTTTATACCCAGTTGGAATCTCTTTCATTAGATGATCGAGACTTGTTATTCTCTGGCGTTGATGTTTGGTATTTGAAAAGTATTTTAATGATAGATATATTAGCGCCCCGTCTGACCTCTCCGGTGAAACTCAAGAACACAAACCACCCCTTCATCCTCGGGGTGTATCATGGAATAGAACCCGGGACCAGCGGATCCAGACTCTCAGTATAAAATGAATTGCGAGGTTGTATAACGGTTCATGCTTGCGTTCCGTAAAACAAAAAAAGACATCCATCTTTTCATATGAGGTGAGGTGAAATGGGGTTTAACGTCGCATCCAAGATTATTGCACTCATGTACGTGTGTGTGTTTCTGTGGCTGCTTGTACTAGTCCGGACTGATGCCGATTTATAGTACTAGCTCACTGAGATACCATGCCGCAGTTTAACATGAATACCCCACTCAGACACAGTATACTGACTCCGAGCCAACCAGTCCTTGTTTTAGCCCCTTAATGCCGAGCGCCAGACAGGGTAACAACAAGTAACATCTTTTAACGTCTTTTGGTATGACGCGGCCGGGGATCGAACCCCGGACCTTCCCCTCTCCGGGCGGACGCTCTACCACTAGACCACGGAGGCAGTCTCTTTTCACATGAAATGTTTTCTCGTAAGAAACATGCGTTATTTGATCCATATGTCCATTTAAGTGTAAAACACCGAGAAAAGTCCGATGACAAAAAGACACTGAAATAAGGAGGATATATGGACAAATTGTGTTAAGAAACAGCCGTCACCAGCCGATACCGGGACAAGTGGTCCTCTGCCTCGTCGCCCTAAGAACGTGGAGGATATACTGCCCTGAATACCGAGGATGCTCTCTGACATGCTGCCCAGGCTTGCTGTGTGGACACGTGCAATTCACCACAGTTGTTTCAGTTGCGGGCATAGAAATGAAACTGGATATGTGTATTGCCTTGTTCATTACAGCATGTGTTTATCAACAGATGGTGTCGCGGGTTGTATATAGGCAGACAGACATAGTTTATTAAAGTGTCACATGGCATGAAACAATAAGAATACATCATATTTAATTTATCATACCATCCAGCCTAGCTAGGCTTATGAGACACTATTTAAAACAGATATACACTAGTAATTTCTTACCTAATAGAAAAATAAAATTGATTAAAATTTATTAAAATATACAGATATCAATAGACTAAGACATATATTATGTAAAACGCTGTCTCCTGTTAAACATTTCATTAATAGTTGATACTGAAAGTTTGATTAACGAGGCGTCAGAGCTTGACATGACGTCAGTTAACACAGTAAGTCTTATCAGTTAACACAGTAAAATTATTATCAGATGATTAAAAAATCTAAAAGATTAACAAGTTCAAACCTAAGATCATCATAAAAGCTACAATAAAAAAGTGGTTAACAGTGGTTAAAGCATCTGGCACCTCGCGCCGAAAAACTGGGTTCCATTCCCCAAATGGGTACAATGTGCAAAGCCCGTTTCTGGTGTTCTCTGCTGTGATATTGCGGAATAGTGCTAAACGCGGCGTAAAACCAGATTCACTCACTCACCCACTCGTTGTCGATGGCGTGCGTGAACAACTATCTACATCAACAAATCACTCTCATCCAGGTCATTGGGAAAAATATTGGTCATATACGCGAGTATATTTTTGCAGTCACATACATTTTTTTCTCTCTGATATTAGAAGCCTAGCAAAGTATACTTTCACAACATACTTTTTTCAAAACATCCATCAATTATTCCTGTAGATAATGCCTGAGACTCATTTGTTTTTCCTGTATTTTCTGAACAAATTACTTCCAAAATTATCTCAGCAAACGAGAAACATTTTGATCAGAGCGCTACCCACGCCTTGCCATCTGATACAGCATTTGACCAGAGGATCTTAGAAAGGGCAGACTGCGCTCTATGATTAACATGTCCTACTTGTGTTTATCTCCCCTAAACACAGACAGGTATACATATATACACCCCTGGCCACGTCGATAACAGTCTATATACACCACTCACCACGTACAGTACAGTGTTGCAAGTCATACGTGCAAGTTGTATATCGCGTGCACATTTCATTCAAACCGGCAATAGAACAGTTGTATACATAAGCGATATACATTCTCATACCCGCGGCGTCTCTAAAACAACATTACCTTGTATATTGACAAGTTTGACTGTGAAATTAGCATCGCGTGTCAATCGTGTATTTACATTTTCAGCACCACGTGGTGTGAACTGGTGGTATAGAGCTCGCGGCGGTCTGTTCCGGGTTTATTCGTGGGCCCTTTCACAGTACTCGTTTACACTGTAAAACGATATAGCGGTTAATTACCACGGCTGTTGGATTGATCACGAAGTTTATTAACGACAGAGGTTAATTATCACACAGGGAATAACAGGTTACTCTATTACTGTACCTGGTACTTATATGAATCAAAGTGTTATCGAACAAATAAATGTATCAGATACAATTTTAAATCAAGTAGAGCACATCTTTAAAAGAGCATGGTCATTGACGATGTACGTGGCATATATGTGTCAAGACATATGCACAGACTGATTGATTAGAGTCTGACAGATATATTGAACATATCGGTATACTTTGAAAACGTCGACTACCGGCTTGGAATTCGAAGGAATTCTGGGTCAGAATAGGTACCCGGTTGCCAGAAGTTTTTTTAAAGAGCCTTTCTTAACTCCATAGGGATTGGTCCATGTCACACAGGGAATAACAGGTTACTCTATTGCTGTACCTGGTATTTATATGAATCAAAGTGTTATCGAATAAATAAATGTATCAGATACAATTATAAATCAAGTAGGATACATCTTTAAAAGAGCATGGTCATTGACGATGTACGTGGCATATATGTGTCAAAACAGATGAACAGACTGATTGATTAGAGACTGACAGATATATTGAACATATCGGTAGAGTTTGAAGACTTCGACTTGGAACTCGAAGGAATTCTGGGTCAGAATAGGTGCCCGGTTGCCAGAAGATATTTTAAGAGCCTTTCTTAAGTCCGTGCGTATTAGCCCATGCATGTTTTTTATATATTATGTAACAGTGTTATTATGAAAGAATGTCACAGGGAAAAAAACATGCAGAAAAATGAATTGGGGTGTAACTGTAATATCCGTCCGTCAGTCAGTCAGTCTGTCTGAATGTCTGTTTGTCTGCTACCCAATGGTGGACAAGATCCGACTTCAATGAGAATTGTGATGAGGATGCGATGTAGACTGTGTGCCCTCGTGTCGGGATGGTATTGTTGTTACTTTGTATACCCGTGAAGATCCGGGGTAGAATAGGTCTTCAGCAACCTATGCTTGCCCTAAAAGGCGACTATGCTTGTCGTAAAAGGCGACTAACGGGATCGGGTGGTCAGGATCGCTGACTGGGTTGAAGCATGTCATCGATCCCAATTGCGTGGATCGATGCTCATGGTGTCAATCACTGGATTGTCTGGTCCAGACTCGATTATGTTGTACCCCGGATCTTCGCGGGTCTCTGACGGTTAAAGAACTATATATGAATAGCGATCAGTTCATTGAATTTTGTACCGCGATACAATATGTGTAAAGTGAGTATACATTATGCATGTAACTAAGTTAATCGATATATTGTCGCTTCGTTGTTACTAACTATACAATTTTAAGGGTGACGTCATTAATTACATGCTTGCATGATAGGCAAACGGTACACTAGTGTATATTCACCCATCGTGGGATTTGACGACTCTATACTAGCCGATTCTAATCACGTAACATTCTGGTTATATATATATAGCTGGACTATTGCTGAGTGTGGCGTTAAACAACAAACAAACATTATTTTATATATATATATACACTAATGCATTCGTGATTAATGGGATCAATGCAAACAATTCAAATACAACGTGCTGCTTTGAGAGTGCTGCATACATTCGGAACGGCGTGGGTGGATCATTGTTCATGCTATCAATCACTGGTTTTATTAACCGGTATAGATGACTCCCAAATTATCGTAATACATCTGACAACATACACTCGATCACTGGTTGCTGGTGACACTATCACACATAACTAAACGCCGTGGTCTGGGCCAACAAAACGTCTTTAAAAAAAACTATACAGCGCGGTATATAATATCCCCGATATTAATTAACTGTCAAGGACATTAATGGCGCATCAATATATAGAGTTCGAGATGTAATGTGAACTGATTCTGCGATGAGATTAGCCGAGGTTATTAATCGTGTTTCACTGTTGTTTCCTTGTCTAACAATGGACAGTTGTCGACAATAATATAACCCCAAATCCTATATAATTAATCCTATTTCAAACTTCAAATGTACCGATTAAAATATATTTCCTTTGTGAGAATTTTTTAAAATATTTTAAGTAACTCTATATAGCTTATAAGACCCATAAATATATTTAAAAAATCGCTAATAGTATTGATGTTCATAACCATTATATATGTTATTGCATTGTGCATTTCATGGACCTACCTTTGATAACACGAAAGAACAAACAAAAACACATGATAATAGCGTATGTCGTTACATAATGACCGTCTGAATCAACATGACTGGCAGATTTTCGAGTACGATAAACACAAAGCATAAAGGTTCACAGAAGCAAATTAAAAATCGAAAGCGTCACCAATGAAATATTTAGCATTCATTGTAAGTTCCCCAAACGTGTCAGTCAATATTTTGACACTAACAGCAAAACATCAGACGGCATGTAGTGTCAACCGTGAATGTTTTACAACTGGATTTTCTGCTATAACACGGGGCCTTTTCTAACGCAAGTGACGCGTAAACTGTTTCTGTCCAAAACAAAGAACAGGTATTTACTTTTTGGGTTTGAAAAAACAAGTCGTTGGAAACAAACGATAATCAGATAAGTCGTGTATGGTGCTATACTGCCTATGTGGATGCGGTGTTGACTATATGTTCCACATTCAATGTTCTACCAGTTATACATTGTCGGTCGGTTGTTGATTACAGGTGGGCTGAGAAGAAAGTAGGTCACCGCAAAGCATTCTGGGAGTAAATGACTCATGGCGGATACGTGAAGCCACAGAGCTTGTTTTACAATCGGAGCTTTGGAGTGGACCGCATCTGTGTGTCGTTTGTGTGTGGAAATTACAAGCAAAACCTTCGACAGTTATGGAACGGATACCATATCGTTCAGCTGGATTATTTACAATTTTCCTTCTTATAATAGGTAAGTAATGTGACGTTTGGCGACTCGGTAAAACAGGTTGCCGTGCTCTCAGTGTTTGTGATTTGAATATCTACATGGGACGCCCAACAATAGCTAAGTGGGACAGAGTCGTGCTATGATTAGGTAGTTTTGAAAGAGTTTTACAAAGTTCTTGCTGGCTGTGTAATAGCGTGTGCATATGATGCAATTTACCGAGAATATTTTAGATGCTTTCTTTGAATATTTGTTTGACTGCACTGGTTTGTCTGTGAAGGCAATTTGACCCGCAAGCTGGGTCACACACGGGCTGTCAACTTCAAAAGATATGTCTGCTACCGTCATAGCTGCACCCTAAATCAGGTGTGTTGGTGTATTATACTATATGCCTAGTCAATTTATATATAACCGTACTACCTATGTATGTAAGCATAGCCACACTTGTTATATGGGAAGTGGATTTGTTATTCATGTTATTACCTGTAAGGTGAAATGACGAGGTGTGTTATCTGAATGTCGACACAAGCTGATTCACTATGGGAGTGGTCATTTCAGGATTTCCGATGATTCAAGCAGAATGTATCATTTATTAACTATTTGTCTTTTCACAATCGCATCGATAAGCTATTCTTCCTGGTTTTCGGGATTCTGTTTTTGTTATGTTTCCCTAGTAATGGACATTTCTTTGAGGACACGATATAAATAGATGATGTTAATTCATTCAAATTATCTATAATAACAACAGTGGTTGGTTATGAAACATAACTTTTAGGAGAAAAAACGTGATTTATTTTTCGTTTTTAAATATTTAGGCATATATTTAAAAAAAACAAAAAAAATCTCAATGGCTATTTTATTAAAAAGAGGTAGATTCTAGATAGATTAGAAATCTTGAGTTTCACTGAAATAGCCTCAATTTTCAACTTATGGAAAATATTCTTAATTGTGGAAGATATAATATTAAACATACATTCCATCATGCAGTTTTTCTTTAGCAGAAACAATCCATGCCTTCATTAGGTATTAAATTTTCAGAAACATGACACTCTACATTCAAAATTTATGTCAGTCTCACATTATCTAAATGTTTGGGATACTCCAACAACACTTAGATCTACAACAGTTTTTCATTTCAAAAAGCCATCGGTAACAGTTTGATCTATTTTAGGTATTTAGCAACATCTTACAAGTTGAGTCCGTTTTGATCCTTCTGGCCCACAGCGAGGCATGCTGTAGGCGTTCAGTCATAAACCAGGCATGTCCCTGCAACCTGCTATGGTCTCAGACTTTGAAACAATTCTAGGCTAAATAGCAGAGTTGACAGTGGACTTAGGCCTCCTCATAAATCAAACTGCATTTGTACCCAGTCTGTGGCAGGAGCACGGAGTTCATGGGAAGGATTAGAGAATTTTATTAGTCATTAACTTCGGGGGCCTCAGGGATTAAAACTGAAGCTCCTAAGTGAAACTTATGGGTGTAAAATCCTTGGGGAGGGGTTCGCTGGGCTGATAAGAGTGTCACATTTCAAATCAGCAATTAAAGTCAAAGGGGAATGTCTCGTAAAACAGGGTGTAAAATGAAGTGGAACATGTGTAAATATGTTTGATTGAAGAAATGAAAATGTAGTTTGACAGCACTTTGAACTGTATACAGTCGTTTCTGCTTTTAAGAGCCATATTTCCCTGACAGGAATGCATTTTGAAAGGTTGTGTTTGCTTGAGGCTTCATTCAACACGGTTAAGTCATCATCATCATGCTAGTGTAAAAGAAAAATTCAATTTGCATTGTGTAGACTAATATTTAGTCCCAGGAATAAAGCTAATTTACTTTAGAAAACATATCTACAAAATAAATGTTAAAATCCAAATAGAGCCCCGAAGTAAGCTTATTTTGTGGAGCTGAAGCAATCTAGCCAAATCAGTCTTCACTTGAGTTGGGTTCAATTTTTCTTTATTCTCTGGTGTCTAGAAGACTTGTCTGCATAGGGCTAATGTATAAAATATGGTGAGTTGACTTTTGAATCGCCTCAATAGCTCCCTGAATTACATAATGTTTCTGGGAAATAAACACAGTAATGTGAATAAGCCAGGTAAAGAATTAATTTCAAACTTATGACACCAAAAAAAACCATTTCTTTGGGGGAAAAAAGTTTTGCCTTTATCAATTGTTTGCCAGTTGGCACACTGCAGCTTGGGAGTTGAATAAAGTAAATCCTCCCCTGAAGCATGTGATTGAGGGAAATACTTGTAGTAGACTATGTAATCCATTGTTACAACAGCCAGTGTATGTGTTAGGCCACAGACATGTCGTACTTGTTAATTTCCACCATTAGAAACTTGTGATTGCCTCGCCCTGTAACCAGATGTACAAAGACTGGCCAGGGTAGGTGTGATTGAACCTGTCTCGTGTGTTGACTCGCAAACATCACAGGGGAAATCTAAGCCATTCTCAGACAGGTAAGGTGCCCGGACACTTTCCAGGTGATAAAAAAGGGGCTATATCTTACCAGCCACTGTAAGCCTGTAGGCACAATATTTACAAATCACTTACTGGAGCTACTGTTGTAGTCATCGTCCCCTTTCCCCCACCGCATTCACTTGGCTTCCCCACCCCACACATTTGGCTCCTCCACCCCACACATTTGGCTCCCCCACCCCACACATTTGGCTCCCCCACCCCACACACTTGGCTCCCCCACCCTACACATTTGGCTCCTCCACCCCACACATTTGGCTCCCTCACCCCACACATTTGGCTCCCCCACCCCACACACTTGGCTCCCCCACCCTACACATTTGGTTCCCCCACCCCACACACTTGGCTCCCCCACCCCACACATTTGGCTGCCCCACCCCACACATTTGGCTCCCCCACCCCACACACTTGGCTCCCCCACCCCACACATTTGGCTGCCCCACCCCACACATTTGGCTGCCCCACCCCACACATTTGGTTCCCCCACCCCACACACTTGGCTCCCCCACCCCACACATTTGGCTGCCCCACCCCACACATTTGGCTCCCCCACCCCACACACTTGGCTCCCCCACCCCACACACTTGGCTCCCCCACCCTACACACTTGGCTGCCTCACTCACATGCCTAGTCTTCAGCGGTAGAAACTAACAGTTTTAGTCCGCTAGTCCTCATGATGATATCATATGGCAACCCCTTAAAAATGGCAAATTTCTACTAGTCTGTACATGCTGTATGATACCATAACCATGATAACTACTGGGCAGTTTGGCAAGGACTATAGGACTAGTGCCAATTTCTTATGCTGGTCTTATTTTTTGTCTTCATATTCATCTTGAAAGAGAAAGAAAACTAAATTAAGAACATCTAGGTATCAAAATATATTTATACACACAATAGAACAGGAAGACTCTTTGATATAATTCTATAACCTACCAGCTCGACTAGGGCCGTGTATTGACCTGGATTTTGTAGTGCAATATTTTGCCATATTTAACCTGTATTGCGATACATATTGCAATATATTGCCAATTTACATTTTCATGAGTTAATTAGGTTTATGATGTCAACCACTGGATTGTCTGGTCCTGATGTGATTATTGACAGACCGCCGTCATATAGCTGGAATATTGCTGAGTGCTGCGTTAAACAGCAAAGAATACTTGTCAGGGCATTGTCTCTTTGTGTTCTACAGAAACAGGTTGTTGAGCCAGATCATAGTATGTGATTGGAAGATAAGATGATCTGTTACATTCTCGAAACTCATTCAACACACTATAGGACACCAATATGTCTAGCAGTAGTATATTGAGTTATTGTCACGTTGGCAGTCGTTAAACTAAGAAAACTCAATACTCCAGTTGTCCATCTTTTTTACGCTAGCTCTTTGAAACACTGGCTGTTGATATTTTCCATGTTATTATTCTTGTTACTTGGGATATTTTTTCAGTTAAATTTAGCATCAGCAATCGACATGAGTTGGTTCATGGAACTTCAAGAGTGTTACTGTAGCCTTGGTTCTAGAGATGGTATCTCAGTTCACTTAGTTTGAAAAGAAACATTTAGTGTATGCAGCACTCTCCATATTTGAATAACACCTTGACATTCTGAAAGTGTTCCACATACAGAAACAATAACTATTCATAAACATATATCTGTGTTTAAAAATAATCCTAAAAAATGTGTTGGCTTTGGAAATAATCTTTCAAAATCATGAACTGCTTTTTTGACAGACTGATTCTTTGAGGAAACATTGTTAATCTGGATTACACATGTAGACAAGTATATCCTTGGTAGTTTGCAACGAACCATTTCACGGTCTGTTTCTGTGCTGTGGTGTGGGAGAGCTGTGAGGCCCAAGGCAGGTCTTACAGACATGGCTAATTGAAACTGCATGCTGGCTTGGGACAGGAGATAAGCCTGGCTGTGATTTATTGCTCTGATGGGGCTCACAGTCTGTATATCACTTAGGCCAAGACAATGAGCGTTGTTGGTGACTATGTTCATACACCTCTGGACCGCCTCCGTGGTCTAATGGTAGAGCGTCCGCCCGGAGAGCGGAAGGTCCGGGGTTCGATCCCAAGCCGCGTCATACCAAAAGACGTTAAAAGATAGTACCTGTTGTTACCCTGTCTGGCGCTCGGCATTAAGGGGCTGAAACAAGGACTGGTCGGCTCGGAGTCAGTATACTGTGTCTGAGTGGGGTATTCATGTTAAACTGTGGCATGGTATCTCAGTGTGCTAGCACTATAAATCGGCATCAGTCCAGACTAGCACAACCACACACATACATGTGCATGCACGTCGCTATATAAGTGCAATAATCTTGGACGCAAGGTTAAACCCCATTTCACCTCACCTCATATACCTCTGACTCACATGGTGACAGTGGTCCCATCATATATAGGATTCAGTAACTGATCTTATGTACTTTAGTAATGCAGCTTGCCAAGAGACATCTTACAGTGTTGAAAATAGAACAGGAAATTCGTGGGTCATCTTGTCCATGATGTCACACTGCACCATTGTAGAGCTAGAGATTTAGAGGG